AAAACCAAACCCAAAAAATAGTTCAAGAAAGAATACAGAATCAGGAAATGCTTAAAAAACTATATCTAAAACCATCAAAATAGTTAATTATCAAGCTTCCATCACCATGCACTCAAGACACTAAAACAACAGCACTCATCACTCAGCAACTAACAAGCCAACCAATATTTGTATTTTTCAACACTTCTGTTGCAAAGACCAAAGTTTAGTGCCACCATGTCATGGCAGGGTACATAACCCCCAGCACCCTACTCACTCTGCATTTGGAGACACTACAAATCACCTTTATAAACCAATACCTTTTCTTTCTCAATCCCACAGGTCATGTGAGTGCTCGAGGGAGATAGAGCAGATGGCTTTTCCCACAGCCTGCCCAGGATTCATGCCATGCTTGGGCACCACAAAGCATGGAAACATCTAAACCCACTGCATCCAGGTTTCACACACAGCCTTTTAACAGTATGCACAAGCAAAATTTAAGCCTACTTTTGTAATTTATAGGTTACCTCGACAAATATACATGAAGCAGCCCTTACCCACATGGCTCTCCTCCTGCCACGCACACTTCTGCCCACCCCTGGCACAAGCCTCACCTGCCCATCGATAGCTGGCATCTGGTGAAGCAACAGGATAAAAGAAAACACTGGCAAAGGGAGTGGTGTGCTTTTCTCCCTGATCTGCTGTGGGTAGGGAGCACCTCAGGCTCATTTTGCCCATGGAAATAAAAGGCAAAGTGAGGGCAGTGTTTCCTCCCCCTTGGTTGAGCTGCAGCAGCAGTAGGGCTCTTTGTGGAACTTTGATCTCCTCAGGCAGGAGAGCAGCTTCAGATGCCTCTTTGCCCTTCACAATCTGTGTTCAGCTCCCAGGTTTCCTCTCAGCAGATCTGCCCAGCAAGGTGAGCGCAGCATCCTGCTCCTCTTCCACCTCTGCTGTCTCGGGTGCATGGTGCTAGGGAAAGTACCATGCTGAAACACAGCTATGATGTTGGTACACAGCAAAAAGAAGTTGTGTGACCCAGAACACTCATTTTAAATGAGAAAGTCATTTCCTCTTGCCTTGGTTACTCAAACTTTGCCAGACCGCTGCAGAATGACTACAGCTAAACAACACTTTCATTTACTTCATATACAGCGTTTAAGTTCAAAGCAGATCAGAATAGCACTGATGTTTGTCTGAAAAACACTTTAAATTCAACTTTTCTGTCAGAAAAGTAAATTCAGCTGAAGATGTAAGAGCGCAAGATGAAAACTATGGATCCTTTAAAATATACCACCACATGAGCCCTGAGGACATCTAAATCAACAGCAATACTGATGGTATGAAAAGCATTCAGCAGTTCAGCTCTCTGGGCCATATGTCAGCCTTAGCTACAGATGAAAGTTATCTTTCCTTTTTCTACTTGATCACTGGAGCAGGATTCTGGTTAAAATCTCATCTGATATGCTTCCTTCTTCGTAAAACATGATGCAGGCCGTGAGTGACTACTGCACAACTAAGCAGTTTGGAAAATAAACAGTACATTGATCAAAGAATGCACTGAGAGTGATTTTGTGTCCACAGGATGCCTCCTGCAGACCTCTGATGCTGGCCACACTTCCTATTTATTCCTGCCCTCAGGTATAAAATGAAGTTTTGAAGACCAGGAAAGAGGTAGCAAAGCCTCAGCCTTATCCTGTTCCATGCAGCCCTGCCCTCCACACACAGGTGGTTGCTCTGAGGAGAACACACCTCCAGAAGCTCACAGGTGACTGGAAAATAAGCAGTGAAAGCAGCTAAGTGTGAATTGAATCTCCCTCCTTCACTATTCATAACCCATGGCCTGGCTCCATTTGCACTGGAGCACTCGCACTCCCACCCCTGTGGAGACACCTTCCCTAGGGCAGACAGTCCCTGGAACACTGCTTCAGGTCAGTGACAGGCAGACCAACTGCCCTGCACCGTGCCTCAGCCACAGGCACTTCTGCCATGAGGGGAAACCATGTCACCTGCTTCAAAATGCAGTAGGACTTCAGTATTTACCTGTTCAAAGTTCAGTTTGCCTTCCTTCCCCCTGTATAGTGCTGCACACCAGAATGACTCTGTTCTTGTACACTGCCCAGTACTGTGAATGTTTGTTAAGGACCACTGGCCTTCTTAATCAACTTAAAATTGAGTATACCTTACCCAAACACCTCACTGGAGGAGAAATAAGTATTTTTATTTGTCTGTAATCATCTTAAGGCCACTTCCAAGAGTCTGCAAATAGCAGGTCAATGAAAGGAATATCTAAACTACTCTAAGCTGCTCAGAAGTTTCTTCAGGAAAATAAATCCAAAGCTCATAGTTCAATTAGTTGGCAACATTATACAGGGCTTGGGTTTGGATTTTTGTGCTTAGGTGTGGGCTTTTTTCTGTATTTAAATGAAAGAAGTTTCAAACAGTATTTCCTTTGTGCACAGGCATGATGAGTTTAGAACTTTGGGGTTTTATTTTTCTCTAATTTCACACCAGTAAGGTTACTAATTTAAACCTAATTCTCTTGAAAAGTAAACATCCACAGAAATGCCCCACTTGCATCCAAACACAGGTGCTGTTTTTTGCCTTAGTTACCTCCCCTACATTTCCATTTTACACATGAAATCAGAGGCTCAAGCAGACTCCTAAAATGGCAACTAACACCCCTTTTTCTTCTACATGACTCATTTCTGTTCTTCACAGCACAGGTAAATACCTCTTTCAGTCTTTATTCCCTAAGGATATTTAGTTTTAGCACCTTTCCCATAGCACACAGGGATTATGGATTACGTGCACAAGTGCCAGCTTTCTACCCATGGCTGGAGACCACTGCAGGACCAAGCAGAACCTGTGTGTGCCAGAGCAGTGCTGCAGCTTCCCAGTCCTTGCCTTTGAAGAGAGATATTTCATACCATGACAGGTAACTCTTTAGCAAAGTTCATCTCAAAACCTCAACCTCAAGTGTTAAAAAAGAAAAACCCTTAAATGATACAAGTTATTACATTTAGTCCCTTTGGGGGAAGTGGGGAATGATTTTGTGATTAAGGACCTACAGTGGGGCTCAAGAGAATTAGTTCAATTCCAGGCTCTGAAACAAGCTTCAAGATTCCGCTGGGGAAGCCTATGCAATCTCCTATCTCACATGGACAGCAGCAGGATAATTTATGAGTGCGAGCAGCCCTCAGAGTTGCAGTTATCAACAGCCAAGTAAATGCAAAGGTAGGCTGCAATCATTCTGAGGACTAGTTAACTATCCAGAGAAGGCAGTAGCATTAGACTATTACTTACAACAGAATTAGAGGGAGTCTTGAAAAATAGCAAGTTCTATTACTTACTCCTGGGTTGACAGCTAGCTCCTAATAGTTTTACCTAGTGCATTAGTGAAAATGAATGAATGAATGAATAAATGAATGAATGAGCTGCAAGGTAAAAATAAGCTGGCAGGTCTTGCAGAAAGACACTATTCTGAAGCACAGCACTATATTCCACATTTTTCACTACAGGGAAAATTTGCTCTATTTAATTCTATAGCTGGTATTGTTTCTTGGCAAAACTGAATTTATGAATTGATTTAATTCATAAAATGAACAAATTAAGCAATGAAAACTCATCTGACAGATGAGTTATGATAAAGTCAAAAAGCTCTGTCAGAAAAACATAATGCTGAAGTCACTGTGTAACCCTCTAGACAGCAAAGTGCTCCACTACATAATCTACTGTGAAAGCATAAGCCTGTCTTGAAAAAAAAGAACAAAACGATTTAATTTCTCTGACATACTGATAAGCACACATTAGAATTTGTTATTCACCACCAACAGAAATTTTCTCCTGCAGTTACGAAAGCAGTTGTCATACACACCAGAAATACCTAAATTAAAAATTACTTCCCATATTTAAGACACCACAACCATTTTAAAATTTTACTCGTTTCTGAAAAAGTACAGTGAGTATTATGGCTGCAACACCCACGATGTATTTAATGCATCACAGAAGTTACTTTCAGTCATTTAATGTGTCCTTCATATGCATCTAAACCACTTTCCCTATGAAAGTAATTGCCTTTCAGAATCATAGAATAGTTAGGGTTGGAAAGGACCTTAAGATCATCTAGTTCCAACCCACCTGCCATGGGCAGGGACACCTCACACTAAACCATATCACCCAAGGCTTCGTCCAACCTGGTCTTGAACACTGCCAGGGATGGAGCATTCACAACCTCCCTGTGCAACCCATTCCAGTGCCTCACCAGCCTAACAGGAAAGAATTTCCTCCTTATATCCAATCGAAACTTCCCCTGTTTAAGTTTTAGCCCGTGACCCCTTGTCCTGTCACTACAGTCCCTAATGAAGAGTCCCTTCCCAGCATCCCTATAGGCCCCCTTCAGATACTGGAATGTGGAAAAATCCAGTTTTTGATCAGCATTCATGTTCAATCTATAACCAATAATTTAACCTTCATAGTAAGTATTTTTGCAGAGTGTCTACCATTTATTTTGCATGTATTAAAACAAAAAATAGTTGATAATTCAGTAGAATGGTTAAGTATATTTTTTAAATCTAATTGATCGGTTTGTATGTAACTACCTATTAAAGTGGTTCTTCACATTAATTTGCTTGACTGCTTTTCAAACTACAGTTATTTCAAGATTTTCCTTAACTTTTCCACTATTATAACTTTAAGTTATAACAAAAGTGAAAATAGTTGAAAACGCAAACCAATCCCAAGCAAATTCAATACTCACTAGATCAATATAAAACTGGTTCAAATGTGTCAGTTATTAGGTGAACAAGTAACACCAACAATTCTGGTTGAGGCTAAAGTTAATCTGTTCACTTTTCTGTCTCCAAAGGTAAAAGCAAAAATCATTGATGACCTTTCATGAATTTAGAGATATTCCTTCCCTCCCATTCATCATGCATCAAAAGCCAGGTCTGACCAGATCTGCCCATTCTAACTTGAATAGCCAGATGTAGATTCAACCACAAGTGAAATTGGTGACAACTGCATAAAGCAGGTAACTTTATTTTGTGACTGTTTAGCAGCATCTAATTTAAAATTACAAAGGTGCAGCACTGACACTCATCAACATTTGTTTTAATAGAAAAGCCTTCTTAAATTTTTCAGAAGTTCTCATAGGACTGCAACAGAATCTGAAGTGCAACAGAAGGTGCAATGCTTGCGTGGTTACAGGACTTTCACTATTACCAGTGTCAGCAGTGTCTTCTTAGGTTCCCCATTGGTGCTGTACTTGGTTAACATGAAGAGCTGGAAGAAAATACAACAACTACTACAAGATAGTTGTAGTTTCTCTATCTGGTGACCCTCCCCACATCTGCTTGTATCTAAAAATCAGTTCCCCTCTTCCATCAGTGAAAGGTTAATTGCCATCTCAACATTTCACTTAATGTATAATCAAACCTAATTATTTGCTATAAACTTTTGATTGTTTAATATCCTCAAAGGTAACCTAACATCTAAGTTCTCAATTCAGTGCCAAAATGAAAAAAAAAAAAAAAAAGCAAGCAGCTCTGACAGGCTCTGTAGCTAGATTATCATTAGCATTAGTTGTAAGAGATATCAGTCACTGTGGGTCTAATCCTCTTTTAACTTTGTGGAGAAAGTTGTTTTCAGTGTCACACTTTCCTTTCTCCATGCCTTACGTCTATAAAACCAAAGGCAAACCTACAAAAGAGCTGGTTAGCCCTCCTACAGGCCAGAAGGTACAGAAGATACCTCCCTCCCACAGTCTGCATCTTCTCCAGCTGTATTAGAAATCAGGCCTTCTTTCTCTCTCCATGTAAAAAAAATATTTGAATCAGGAAGTATGCATTATTATTTTTATTTCACATCTACAGCAGTATTAAATTTTTTCTACCTAAATTCTGAATATTCCAATTATAATTTACATTATTGATTTTCTACCCTGAATAACGTTTCATTTTGTTTGATAACAACAGTAACAACCACACAGGCATCTATGTGCTAAGTACCCTCCTTATTATGAAAAAGCCAAAGAAACCTGCTGAACTTGTACATTTTAGAAACTCATGTTTAATTATTCCAATATAAACAGGATCCTTCAGGCTGAGTCTGGCTTAAAGACAGCCAGCCATGGTTTTCATTATTTAAATAAAATAAAGTTTCCAGCTAGAATAGATGTATTGTTGTCAGCATCATGAAGGTTTTAACTAGAAATTACAGTTATTAAAGCAAGCAGCTACAGAGCTTTGTCACTCTCACCTGGCATTGGTGAAAGGACAGGTGTCCCTCCAAGCAGTGGCCATTTTGTAGGTTGATATCAAAAATATCCCAGAAGTCCAAATCCTTTAGTAGGTGCTGAAAGAAGAGGTGGAAGATTATCTTTGCATCTGACAGTCCTGTTTGGAAATGGTTTTTGTTTTTTTTATTGCAACTGATTTAAAACAAACAGTGAAATCTGCTTTTGTATGCACAGGACACTCTTAACTGTGAGGGTCTGAAAACACCAGGCTTGAAAAACGCCAGTTACCCAGCTGAAAGCCGGTACAGAAATGGAAACTGTAGACAAAGTAGTGACACCACACACCGACAGCTACAAATGCCTTAGTTCTTACCATTCCTAGTGCCCTACTTCAAAAGATGTGCAACCACTGAGCTACAAGTATAACCTTCCTGTCCACGTTTAACAACAGAGCATACTGGCCTGCAGTGTCACTAATCTTAGCATGAGCACGCTATAAAGTAAAACTTTTCCTGATGTTAACGTTAGCTGCACACACAAGTTAAATCACAAACTGACAAATGAATTACAATTTGTATGGAAAATTAAAGCCGGATTTTGAGCTATTTTTTCATGACAAGCATATTACATGTAATCTGAGTCTGGTTCTAAGCAAGGACTTAATCCATGACCATAATGTAGGTCACTAGTTTTGATACAGTTTGTGCCTAGTATTCATTCCAAGAAATCAGACCCAGGACTAACATCAATAGCTGTCAAGAGTGTACATGTGGTTTCTTTTTACACTGTCATTTAACAAAAGAAAATAAATCCAATTAAGCAGTGTCACGATATTTTTTGCTGACTTTCCTATTTTAATCATTAAAGCACTATTTAATTTATAATAAAGCACCGTACTCTAAACCTATGCATCCAAGAATATTGATGTTTAAAGCCTGAACCGCCCTCGCCGTTTCTGCTGTCCTTTTAGTTTTCAATGAGCTTCAGTAACTCAAAAGAAATGCAACCAACTTGGTAACTAAAAAAGAAAGCTTTGTAGAATGGGGAAAGTTCACAATGGGAGGAAAAAAGCCTTTCTAAAATAGCCAGGTGTTCACCTCAACCCATACCAACTTCAAACAGATGCAAGGACAGTAGTTGAATCTGATTTCAGACTAAGGACATGAAAGATGAGCTTTATATTCTTACACTTCTATAATGTTAGAATGAATTCTTTTTCAGATAAAGAATAGTACACTCCCCTGCTCTCCTATTCTTTCACATAAAGTTTGCTCTGAAAATAGCATGGCTGAGTTAAGTCTTTCAAGTATCATTTGATCACTGCCAAATATTTGCAAGTTTGGATTTTTCCACATCCCACCCCCTACTTGATTGTAGTTCATGTAGTATCTGCTAGGTTTTGTTCTCCTTCTATGAGTAAATGTACTGTGGGAAGTGATCAAGTCAGTCATTGAAACACAATGAATTACTTTGAAATACAAAACTGAAGTAGTATTGTAAGAAGAGCTCCTGACGGTCTACCACCCAAATGAAGGTTTAACCTGAGGAAGGGATTACTGGCTTAAGAAAGCAATCCTACCTGGCAGCAGCAGAGGTGGAGGTTTACTTAAAGTATAGGTGGCAGTGCTTGTGCATGACCTTGCATCCTCACATTGACTTCAACTTCAGTTGAAGGATCAGTTTGTTCAACAAGACTTAGTCTAAATGAACAAAAGCAGCAAGCCATTCTTATGCACAGATATTCTAAGTCTGCAAATTACATATGTGGCTGGGTTTGTTGTTGGGGTTTTGTGTGTATGTGTGTGTCGTGTGTTTATGGGCTGTTTTTTGGTTTGTGGTTTGTTTTTTTTCAGAAATGTTCTGGATTTTATACTTTAGATAAGTTTATACACCATTATATTAAACCAGGAGTTGCATTCCACTTAACAGACTGATGGATATCACTAACTTGAATTCATTTATGTGTGCAGTATTACTAAAACGTAAATACTCAAAAGCATTAACAGATGATGAAATACTCATTTTGCAACCACAAGTTGTGAGAGAGCAACTGCCCATTAGAGGACTTGTGTATATGTCCTGGTAACAGGTCTAGTTCTGTGAGGAATACAGATGCATATGAGGAATACATGATGCACATGCCCATTAATACACACACTGGCATTATATACATGAACTTTTCATCTCTAGTGCCTATCACTTATTTAACAGATTATTTATGTGGAATGTACCCAAACTTATTTTCATCAGCTTTAAAAGATGCTTGAAGTTGTATTTCAGTGGGAAAAAATATTAATACTTCAATGATGTCTTTTCTGCTCTTCGCATTGTCACTTACTGAGCTCAACTCCACCCAATCCAAGTATTTCCCCACATTTAACAGAAATGTCTAATGCCCAGAGACACACTGTAATCTCTCAGCTCCCATGCTAGGCAGTCATCTACCAGATCATCTGCCTTGTGTGAAACCCTGGTACACTCCTGTTGCTCAGGCTCAGCAAATGTATTCCCAAAAGCTTTAACAAGAAGAGCCAGAGCATCCTCCACAGGCATGCTATGAGGCACCACAAAGACGAAATAGCTGGCTTTAACAAGTTTTCATCTACTTCACACATTTACAAAAAGGTAGAAAAACATAGCTGTTAAATCTGCGCAGTATAACTGAGGGAAATTTTTGAAGCCTTCAGTTCAATATTGATATAGCCCTTCTGTAGATGCAGAGGTTAATTCTGATTTAGCACCAGTACATAAAACTTCATTTGAAATATAAATGAAAAGCTGTAATTTCTTCTTCCCACTGTAAAAATATTACTGGTCGTTCATAAGCTAAAGCTATAACTGAAAGATTCCCAGTTCCATACAAAGACTTTCACAAACATCTACAGCTGAAATAAAACGATTAGAACAGATTCCCCCCCCTTCCCCCCCCCTTTAATTTCAGCATATCTTTTACCTAACTAGAGAACAGGGCACATACTTTCCCTCCAGAAGAAGCTGCCTTTTTACTATTGTGTTCTTGATACAAGATGCAAAATTTGTGAATTTACAATAAAAGGTTCTGAAACAAATGCAGATAAAAACTTTAAAAACAATTGTGATTCATTTACATAGAATCAATGCAAGACATGGAAATTTTAATTAAGCAATTTCTATATAACTATCATTAATTACTGTATATCGCAATTTCTTCCATGCATTTTATGTCATTTAAGCAGCAATCCAGGACAAATATTTAATCACTCCATGGAACATGAATTATTACAAATTCAGTGAACTATTTCAAAGCTGTCTCATTTTAACTAGGTCAAATCTGTTACCCAGAAGTGGAATGAATCAGCATTTAAAATTTTAGTGGGTTAAAAGAAATTTAGACTGCAATTCTGAATGGGGACTGTTTTAAGTGACATCTCTCAAACAAACATAACTTTCTTTTGATAGAAGAATGAAACACAATTACAGTGCACAAGGGAAATGCTAAATTGGGCTGTTCTAGAATACAAAACCATTATTAGCTTCTTGGAGTGCATGTGTGAGATCTAACTTATGTAAGGTAAATTATTTCCACTACGACACCAGGTTCTTGTAACCGATTGCCTATAAATCGAGCATATTGCCCTGGGGAAAAAGAGAAGTTGGCTATATGCAAATGAAAATCTGTCATTGTTTCCTATTGCTGTGCTCTTGCCATTTTGCATGTGCCAAATGCAAAAGGATCAAGTCCAGTGTTGTGAGGCGTAAAAAACCCCACAAAACAGTGTGCTCATTGATCAGATACACTTTCTACATCAGAAAGCAACTGTGATCTCCGTTAGCAGTTAGCTATTCTTGCCTCATCATATTTTAGTGCTAGATTTGAGTGACATACTTTTAATTATTGAAATAATTTCTGTTTAGCATTTGATTCTGTATCAACATCCTCGTATACTGGGAAATACTTGACTGAAAACAATATGAACTATTACACTGACATTAGTGTAGTTTTGTTAAGTAGCCTGTTTCTTGAAAAAAACACTGAAGATACAGGGCACAAAAGTTAACAGTAGTGATCCATATGTTCTCAGGATAAATGCTACACAGTATCCTTTAAGGATTTTACAGATATCTTGATTTTAGTCTTTTAGACTTGTAAGATCACATTTCTTACTGATAGCAATACGAAGAGGTGAAAGTCACAGACTCCATTTGCTTCACCAACAAGAAAGCTTGCTAACATTGATCCTGAAACTACAAGCAGGAAAGTAGTCAAGGAAGAACTATGTCTTCTTCATATCCTGTAGTACACATACTTATTTTTTAAACATTTCTAACAGTATTTCATTTACATATTAAAGCAACACACTTGCGCTTGAACAAGTTGAAACAAATTGTTTTGTCAGCTTCTATTATTTTCAATTGCTTAAAAAAATTAGAAGTCAATTTACAACTTCCTCTGATTATCCCAGATGATATATGCATTTCAGGCAAATTAATGAACCCAGCTGCAGCAGCTCTAGTTCCTCCTATCTGACTTTTGAGTCTCTCTACTACTGACCAAACATTTAAATAGACCACTAAACTATGACAGTGTCAGAGAATTTCCAACTGGTAATTCCAACTGTACTACTATATTTCTGCAACACTCCATGAACTGAAACAGAAAAATCTCTGTGGTAGTCCCAATCATATCTGAGTATCAGAAGGGGGTATGCCAAATACAGAGGTCTGTGAGGAGGAAGGGAATTAAACATTGCATTTACAGTGCCAGAATTTAATACAAAGAAAGGCAACTGTCTCAGCTTAAAATAAGTTTATTGATTCTGTTGTTAGAAGGTGTGTGAAGGCAGAACAGATCATCTACATTTCCTGTAAGTTTCAAATGAATTAAATACATAGGGAATCAATATCAGTAACAAATTTGGTACAACACACTTTGCGAGGGGAGGAGGAAAGAAACAAAAGTTAAAATACCAAAGCAGCAATAAGGAAGTCAAAAGGAGCTATAGTTTAGATTTCCAATTCTCTAGATAGTCCTTTAACAAGAAAAAGGAATTCTGTGTATTTGAGTGGTTAAGATGTACATATTCAAGTGGTTAACATCTATGTATTCAAGTTGATCCAGCTTGCCTCCAGGGGATAAGCAGCAATATAATGGAAACTAGCTCTTCCAGGATTAAACACTTCCGACAGAAGCTTATCTTCTGTTTAACAGAATGTTACTCTAAGTGTTCTCCTAGTACTAAGAACTAAAGAATAGACCAAAAGCTCTGTGCATTTTAGAGTCCTTTTTATATAGCCAATTTCAATTTTTCCTTCTGTTGGCAACTGTGAATCTTTCACATCAGAAAGATATTTGCCATGCATGCCCACAAAGATTACTCAGGCAATAATAGTATCTGAAACTACTTTTAGTATGTCTAGATTAAGAGACCATAAAATATATCCAAATGCTGCAAGATGGTCTTTAAAGCAGAAAAGAATTAAGATCAGACCTGAGTAATTTTTTTTTAAAAGAACTTAAACAGTCTCTTGTGGCTGTCATACTCCAAAGCCTGGGAGATACATAGGAAATTTTAGGACTAACTGTAAGTACTAAGGAGATCCAGAAACATTAAATAGGCATGATCTTCAGATATTATCTACATATTTGTAGGGTCACATTTCTGAACTGGGTTACACTTACCCATGTAATTACCATTTCTGTAATAGAATTAGCTGAAGAAAAAACTTAATAGAAACCTACTTCCGCTCCTGGCTGATGGCAACAATGACAGTCAGAAGGTCTCATTCTTTCTGCACCTGTTGATAAAACTGCAAGCAGAGCTTCTCTCTACAATCATTCCTAGTGCAGCCACCTGCAACCAAGAATCAAAAAAAAATCAATTAAGCAACAGCACAGACTGCAAAACTGTATCACCAAGTCTTCACTACTTTACCATGTAACAATACTGTCAAAAATGATAAAAACCAGTTCTTTGAAGCTAGGTTGGTTTTTTCCCCTCCCTTTTCTTTTTCCCTGAGGAAATCTGTTACAGACAAACAGAGCATAAGAAACATTATTAAACTCAGCTTCAGAGTTCTCAGAATTAATCTGAGAGAATTAATCTGAGAACAGCCCATTCATCTATTCCAACCTACAGAGGATTATTTTTGTCCTATACTCTCCCGAATTTTCTTCTCCTTTGATGCTGAAACTCAAATCTCACTCCAACAAAAGACAGTGAGAGACTAGGAAAAGCCACCACACTGCTTTTTGTTTTTTCTTTTCACTAAAGCCAGACATTATTGCTCACTGACTTGCCTGAGCAAAAGACCAGGTAGTTATTCAACCAATATCCCTCTGGTACCTTCCTGGAAGAACTCATACTGAGCACAGGTAAATCCATAAGTTATCCTGCAATTCAGTTACAATTATTCCTCACACAGATCTTACCACATGCTGCTACATTTACACCATTCATTAGCTTGTCTAGAAGCAATGGGATAAACAACTTCTTTAGCTAGTAACAGAAAAACTTTCATGAGTAATCTCCACCCTGAAGGGAAGTACCTATGTATTTTTTGCCACTGAGTTCTACCAGGGATTAAATTTATAACTCACATTCCTACACTCTTTTCATTACCCATATTTATTATAATTATTTCATATATTCATTATAATCTTTCATTATATAGTTAGGTAGTATTGTGCTCAATACAATGATATTCCTGTCAAGCTGTGCATCTCATTGTTAAATTAGTAGTTCATTAAAAAAAGCCTCACTTAACTTTCTACAAGAGCCACTATAATAAAGGTTCTTAAAAGACCACATTGACTAATCCCATTGCAACATTTTTTTAAACTCTATGAATAACAAATGAATAACATGAAATTTACTTAACCATAGCTTGACTGAGTTAGATAATGCTTAAACTCTCAAGAGCTTTTTTTTCAAGCTTTTTTTTAGAAGTTTAAACTATAAAATTCAAAAGTTAGAAAATAATTTCCAGGTAATCTGAGTATGCACTCAGCATCACCTACTACTAGCATTTATACTAGTAGCATGTAGTTAGATTTAGTTTCTAGTGGAAAGCAAGTTTCTCTGACCACTAACAAAAAAAGATTATTTAAGGAGAGATGTAACTAGTCAAAAATCCTCAAAAATTTCAGAATGACTCTTCAGGATGACATCCACTCTTTTTGCCACAGATGAACTCCGTAGCCAAGCACCTGTTACAGACAACACTTTGGAATTCAAACTAGAAAAGCACAGTCTAGAATTTGGTAGGCTCCAAGGCATGAGATACTTCTTAGATATTCACGACAAGATTACTATTAAAATGAATGTATATTCCTGCTATAGCATTAAAAATATTTTTCTGTTTAATACCTAGAATGTTTAAAGCTTTAGAATAATTTCTATTTATGCTACTGAAAGTTTCTTACCTATTCAATCTTCAAAATCCTTTGAATAATCATACGGGAAAGGATGACTTTTCTAACAAGATCCATGATGATTTATACTAAAGGAGGTAAGAATATAAGGTTACATATATACAAATGTAAAATTACATACATAAGAATATAAGGTTACACCAGAAAAATCTTTTAAAATCTAGAATAATACAAGTGTTAAACAATAATGAAATACGCACATTCAATAGATGTTCATACTATATTTGTTAAAGAGTGTAATTGTATCAGATAAGACAGATGTACTATTTCTCCTTCCCCACTCTTTCATTAAGAAACTCTGGAGAGATGCGAAAAGGTCATGTTTCCTTGTCCAGCTTTGCCTAATTGAATGAACACGTTATGATACACCATACAGCAGCTCAGTCAGATCCTCCCAACTGGTGAAAGAAAGGCAAAAGAAATACTCTGACATCACAACAGTCATTGCAAAAACATGCAACCACAGGGGGACATCTTTAGCCAAGATTTCTGCTTACACAAGATCCTTCTAAAGCTTTTCCTTCATCCATTTTTTCCTTAAGTTTACAGTAGAAAGGGCCTTCATTATGCATCAGCAACTGGCAGTATCTGAAATTAATTATATTAATATTTCATTTATTTGCTTCCCATAATAAGATGCATCACTCGTACGTCACTTACACACACTAAATTAAGCATGCTTTTAAATTACAGTACAGAAAAATAGACTTTACTGAAAAGCTACATCCTAAACTGTCCATATGAACTTCCTTTAAGATTAGCTCGTACATACTTGCTTACTTTGTCCTGTACCAAGAGATGTCTTTCATGAGTACAGCTTTATAAAAAAAAAACCCTAAACACAAAACCAAAAAACATGGTGTTTTTTGTTGTTTGTCTGTTTGTTTTCACCCTCTTTTTATACTTCTATTGCAGTGCTTAAGTATGCTCCAAAACACAGCTGGGATATGTTGCGCTCTATTTGTACTAATTCCTAGAGATCCTGTGGTCTAAGACAAGACATACAAGATTATCTAACATATTAACACAAACAAACATATGATAGCCCTGGGGGAGTATGTTCTGTTTGGTTTCTAAAGGTATGTCTAATCTAACTGACCACAAAAAATTAAAAACAAAGAATCCATTTAGATTCTGTATTTCAACTAGGAACATTGTGGTTTTCCTCAAAAGATGATTAGCCAAAATCCCCAAAAGAAATTATCTCCCACTTCCCTGATATAACTGCAATACCATAGAGAGAAGAGTAAGGAGAGTTTACTTAACAGCAAGACCGTCACGTTATTTCAGAATATGCTCTTTTGGAAGCAGTTACAGAGTGAAGCAATGTGAGAAACAAAAAAAAAAAAAAAAGAAAGCATCAGCAGCAGACTTCTGTGGTTGTGGTTGTTCCATTTGTTTTTAATAAGGAGCACTTATACTTGGAAGGAATCATTGTTTTGCAGAAGTGGTATCAAAGACTAACAGTACAGGGCAAGCGAACAGATTGCAAACAACCCTCAAAGCAGCTGCTGTGCACAGGATATCAAACTAAACAAAAAAATGCCCTAAACCATGCCTAGAAACAAGAAGAAATACAGCATATCCTGGCAAACCAACAGGGTTTATGGCTTAGCATTTCAAACAGACAGCAAGCTACCTGCTCCTGTATCTAGGTGTTCTACTACGCAGTGCAACCATCACAGCTCACATTAACACCCTTGGGCTACACTACCCACTGGTGACAGCTGCCAGCCAGGGAGGGACACAGGGCCATACCCATGGAGAATGACAAAGCAGATCGGAAGAGTGGCCCCCTCACTCACAGACCTCAAGGTCTGTCTACACACAGCGACGATATGACGCTGCTATATCCAAGAGAAAAGAAACAAGTTCAGCTTTCAGTCTTGGATTCTCCACACTTTTAAATAGCTTAGTTTTCCTATTAGCCATTACTACTATGGTGCAATATCTTTGACATAAACCCAAAATTTCTAAGTAAAACATCCTTGTTCTTAACAAATAACTTTCAACCTGAAAGTCAATAAAAGGAAACAACTTTGTCACTTTATTATCATATGAGGAAAGACACCTGAAGAACTAAAGTACCCCTCAAAACATGGAAAGCAGATGAATGCACCTCTTTCAGTTTTTTTTAGAAAACGAAATACAAAGTGTGGGAAAGCATGAGGCTGAGAAGACACTTGTGAACTAAACATGAAGGACTAGGAACTGGAAAAGTTGAAACCACATGACTCAAGACTGAACAAGAATCCTCTCCTAACATAAAAACATGACAAAAATGCTGAGGGAGTTTTGTTTAATTTTATATTCTACATCTAATATCCAAAGATTCACTTTTCTCATAAACTGCTTCATAGCAACATTTCTGTGTTACATATTATTCACTTCAGAAGACATGGAATCTACCTGGATGCATGTGTGGGCTGAAAGTCAAGAAAGTTTGGGGACTAAATATTGAAGGCAAACAGCAGGGAACAGTCAGCACAGATCAATAAAACTCCATGCTATAGAACACAGAACTTGCGTGACATTCTTTTAGGCTACCCTAAAGTGTGCTAAGAGGAACAACAAGCTAAAAAAAGGAATTAAGTTATGTTGGATATAAGAAGCCTGTCTTCTGAAGTGCTATAAAGGATAAGAGGGTGAGTTTTACTTCTCCTGTCCTAAATATCTACACATACATAAACCCCTCATTTCGGTTGCAGAAAAAGAACAGAGGAAGACAAATTTATAGACTACCAAAGTTCAAACTATTCCTAGCATCTCAACCCATAACTTCCCATATTCATAGAATCATTGAATAATAAAACAGTTAGGGTTTGAAAGGACCTAACTGGATCATCCAGTTCCAACACCCCTGACATGGGCAGGGACACCTCACACTAAACCATCTCACCCAAGGCTCCCTCCAGCCTGGCCTTGAACACCCCCAGGGATGGAGCATTCACAGCTTCCTTGGGCAACCCATTCCAATGCCTCATCACCTTCACAATAAAAAACTTCTTCCTTGTATCTAATCTAAACTTCCCCTGTTTAAGTTTTAACCCGTTACCCCTTGTCCTACCCCTATGGTCCCTAATGAAGAGCCCCTCTCCAGCATCCCTTATAAGCCCCTTTCAGATATTCAGTGTGGCAGAACTCATTTCATACTACGATTCTAAGAAGTGAAAATGAATCTTCTTTTAATTACATTAAGACAGACAAAATGTGTATTTCTACACTATACCTCATTGTCGTGGTTTAAGGCCAGCCGGCAACCCAGAACCACACAGCTGCTCGCTCTCTCCCCCACTTTCTCCTCCCGCTCCCAGAGGGATGGGAAGGAGAATCTAAAGAATGTAACTCCCACGGGTTGAGATAAGAGCAGTCCAGTAACTAAGGTATAACACAAAGCCACTACTGCTACCACCACTAATAATAATAATGATAAGGGAAATAACAAGGGAAGAGAATACAACCAATCACCACCTGCCGAATAATACCCAGCCCAACCCGAGCAGAAATCTAGCCCTTCCGACTAACTGCCCCCAGTTTATATCCTGGGCGTGATATGCTGTGGTATTGAATACCCCTTTGGCTAGTTTGGGTCAGGTGTCCTGTCTCTGCTTCCTCCCTGCTTCCCCTCCTCCCTGGCAGAGCATGAGGCTCACAAAGTCCTTGGTCAGAGTAAACATTACTGAGCAGCAATTAAAAACGTTGGTGTTATCAGTGTTGTTCCCAGGCCAAAAGTCAGAAACACAGCAGTGCACCAGCTACTAAGAAGGAGAAAAATGACTGCTACTGCTGAACCCAGGACAATCATGTACAGATGATTCTTTGGATTTTGCTCAGATATACATATAAAGCATGTAAACACTATCCTTGCACCACTGAACACAAGTTAGGATAATACTCTTCAAAAGTGGAAGGTAATTACTACAACAAACAGATTTATAAAAATATATGGAGTAATAAAGGGAAAGACTGAATTTTTAACAGCCTTAAACATTAACACAGTATCTCTGAAGTAGCATGTTGCCTCAAGAGGGAGGAATTGTTTATAGGAAAATAAGCAGGAGAAGCAATTATGTAGATGAAAACATGCAAGAGAAGGCTGGAAATGCATTCAAACTAAGAAACAGGTGACTCATCCTAATTAAATATTAGCAGATGCTGCTAACAGATGCTCCCACATTATGCTCAAAGTACAGCTGTGAGAACCAGATACCAAAGATGCTAAACTCAGAGAGATGCATCCCTTGTACCTCAACGAGATACTTGAGATATCATTCTAAGCTGACAAAGTATGTTTCTTCCAATCACCTCTGCATTGTCAAGCAAGCCAAATGTATACTAAGCCCTTTTGCTTAAACTGTTAATTTTAAGGCTTCAAAGGCAGCAAAAGGTATCAAGGGTTATTAACATGTGCACTAAGCCTAAGAAGCTGTTTCTTCAACTTATAATTGTAGTACAATGAGAGTTATATTGTCTCTTGTCTTATGTACCTTACCTACTCTCCTGCCAAGAAAATTGTATGGAAAAGTAAAACCTAACTGGGAAATTTCAGAGAAAATAAAACCATTTTGAACTACCCAAGAAGTTTCACATTACAAACAACACAGGAATTATAATTACTGTTGGATTTTTCTTCCTGGTGTAAGTTCAGCTTTTAAGTGTCACAAATCATAGAACCATAGAATCGTTAGGGTTGGAAAGGACCTTAAGATCATCTAGTTCCAACCCCCCTGCCGTGGGCAGGGACACCTTACGCTAAATTGTATCACTTGAACAAAAACCAGCTTTAAGATACAGGTATCTGTTCAGAAGTAAACCGAACAGCTAAAGGAAGATAGAACAGATCAGCTGGAGACTTGCACATCAACAAACTCACAGAAGTATTAATAGCCTAGTACAAATTACAACTTTCTGATACTGTCAGGATACAAGAAGTCTCCAAAGGCTATGCACAGCACTGCATTTTTCAGAGTAACACTAACTTCATGAGGTGTGACTAATTCAAGGTTCTACCAACTGCAAGTAAGGAAGAAAATATGTATTTCCCAGACTCCAATTTTTCAATCCAGTGAAATATTCTAGTGCTAATTGTTATAAATGTGGCTCAAATAAATTGACGAGAGCCAGACCAAAGAATCAAATCAGTTTATTGAGCAAGCGACAGCAAGCAAAACAGCGCTGGGCGGTCGGGGAGTCTCCGCTCTGCCAACGGCACGCACCCCACTTCCCCAAAGTCACTGGTTTTATACTCTTCTTCATCTGATATACGTGTCACCTCCTGGCGTCTTCTGCGTCTGTGTGATCTGTAGATAAAGGGTCTCATTCTGTCTCCCGGTGGGTGTGGGGAGAAAGGCTCCTTATCGCCTTCCCCATGCATCGTTTACTTTAATGGATACCCGCAGTCTATAAGCAACACGTCAAAGCACCGTAATTTTCCAGTAACTATTAAGCAAGCAAGTAACTCTAAGCAAGTAACTCCGAAGCAAGCAAGATTTGATTAACAAACAGGAATTTACTCATTACACTAATTATCTGCTATAGCCTTTAACAACAGCTAGAAAAAAACACCCCTGAGGGGCTCAGCCTTCCCATTTGGCTGACAGAACTCCAACCAGCATTGGTGGGCATGTTGCTGGTTTTCACACTGGCAAAACCAGCGTAAGCTACTTAGGCACAGCTATAAGCTGAACTCGCAAATGCTCTTAAGAAAATATTATATTGTCATCTTGATTCAGTAAGCCATCACCAGAGAAACAGTAACTTAAGACTTTCTAGAAAACACCCATTTTTCTGTAATTGCACTTAAAAATAATGAGATCAAAACGACTATAAATCGTGTTTTCACGACCTCCCAAGTTTCCTTCAACGAAGTCTTTGCACACAAGTGATGTCCTGTCCCACCCACCCCCAGAGCACCGCAGTTCCCCGTGGCTGCTTCTGGAGGATGGCAGCACAGAGCTCCTACTGCACCACAAACCACCAGTCCGGCCTTCAGTATGGCTTAGCTGGAAACAAATGGCAGTGCAGGGACTCTTGGTCCCTGGAGAGCTCGCTAATCAAGTCATTCTAACTCAACGCTTTCCTGCAAGGAGCAGAGCAGCTCGGCACCTCTGTATCCTGGCTGGGACCGAAGACAAGAATAGGAGCTACGGGATGATGACGGCTGATCTCTGTACGTCCGAAGGGACGCTTACAAACCCTCAGCCTTTAAGCACTATGTCGGATGTCTGCACCCCCCCCAGGCGACAGCTGCCGCAAAGGCCGCATGACGCGCCGCCACTACGGTCCCATCCCAAGGGCATCCCTCCAGCGCCGCACGGCCGCCGCTGCAGGAAAATCCGCTCGTAAACAAAGCCCAGGGCGGGAGAAGAGATACAGCCGGACTGACAAGGGAGCACCTCGCACTCACTCCAGCCGGATACAGCGAGCACGCACCGGAGGACACAAAACGCTGCAAGGCTGCGAACCCTCCGTCCCCAGGCTGCGGCCCCGTACACGCGCAAGCTCCGGCCAAGCTCTCCCTCAAGGGCAGCAGCAGCGGAGCTCCGCCCCGCCCCGCCCACAAATAGCTGGAGCCACGCCCCAGCACTTTCTGTGACCAATGCGAGCCGCGCTTGCTCAGGGAAGGCATGGCGAGTAGAATGCTCTCCAGTAGGGTGCGGCGTTGTTACGGGAGTGGGCTTCTGAGCCTGTGCGACGGGCTGGTCTGCAGCGGTGAGGATTACGGTTGCCTTCTGTCGCCCGCCATGAACTCACTGGACCAGGCTGAGGGTGAGTGCGGCGCCACGGAGCGGACTCGCGGCTACTGCTCAGCTGTGCTGGGAGCCTCTGGCTCCGAACGCGCTGCCTCATTTCTCCAGAGCGGGCCTCGCCGCGGCGCTGCCCTGCGGGAGACGAAGCGGCAGCGAGAGGCCTCGGCTGCCCCTGCATTGCGCTCCCGGGGCCGGCGCTTCTCCTTGGCCCAGACAGGCAAGCTGGGGCGGGGTCTGTGGGGCTGCAGCCCGGGGCTCGGAGGGGGGTTGCCCCTGCACTGTGGCCGCCCGCGAGAAAGGCCTGTGCTGAGGGGCTCTGTGTGTGGGCTCCCGTGCCCTTTTGTCAACAAGGTTTCTCGACTTTAGGGTGTTAAAATTCCCCTGTGCTGCGGTAGCTGTTTCTCCGCTCACGGTCTTTGCTTGAATACATTTCTTACAGCCCTGAGCCCCACGTAGCACACCAGGCATTTGCCAGGGCTCCTCTTGCATTTGAAGAGCGTTACGTCGAGTAGCCGGCGTTGTCTCAGGACGTTGGTGGTGTGGGTTACAAGTTCGTTGAAATGACAGTTTACAGGATGTCAGAAACATGAAAAACGCCTTTCAGGAGATTTTTTTTTTTTTTTGACACACCTTTAGTGTCAAAAAATAAGTCTTACAGAAATTTCAGAAACGCATCAGTGTCTCAGCCTTAGCAGGTGTTTCCTAGCAGATACTAGAGGTAGACATGTCAACAAAAAATGGTAGTCTGGTGTTGCCATGGCTTTGCTGCTGTGTCTGTACAAGCTGTACGCACACAAAGAAGTGTGCCTTGCTAGTTACAGCTGCCAGGTGTCAAAGTGATAAACGCAGAGAAGATTTTTAGATCATATATAAACAAAAATAAGATGAAAATTTAAGCGCCTGTGTTTCGAAAGTTTGGTGAATTTTGTTGGTTTTTTTCCCTGTGTTTTGGGGTGGGATTTTTTTCTTTCTTTTTTTTTTTCTTCTTTCTAATGCCGTCTGCATTATACAAGCGTTTTCTGGAGAGCTTTGGTATCAATAGCTTGATTTTATGCCCACAGGCTGTTGTGTCTCAAATAGCAGATTTTCACGTGATGCCTTATATTCCCCCTTTCCCTTCAGTGACTGGTTGTAGGGGTTTGTGCTAGTCAGGGAACAGTTAATTAGCTTTAATTGCTGGCAGTGGCTTAGCTTTCCCAGAAGGGAGGTGGAGGACAGGCCATAACTACCGGGCTTTTGGCAGTAATTAAGACTAGTTAACTGTTCTGTGGGTGGAATCAAAATGCTGTAATCTTCCCTCCTGAATTCATCTGCAAACCATTTAGGAGTAAATGTACAATTTCGAAAATGGTGTTAGTAACGATCATAAGAGGAATATTTCTTCTAATTTGATCCTTCAACTGATTTATCATGGTAAATAATTTAGCAATATTTGCAAGTTGAAGGAAGTATTTCCAGAGTGATGCTAATTGAAATACTTTAGCTGAAAGTTAAACTTATGCTAAGAAAAACCTAAGTGCAGATAAAATTCTACCTTTGACTGCAGTGTTGTCAGATACTGACCTTGTTGAAGAGAAATCCAACATAGCCTTCAGGTGAAACAGCTGCTTGTACGGAAATGTTAGGTGGCTAAGATTTGTTGGGTTTTTTGTTTTGGTGTTGTTTTTTTTTTGTTGTTGTTGTTGTTTTTTAACAAATTAGGAGTATACCCTTGAAATGCTGCCTGGCATTTAACAGTAATTTCAATGAAAAGACCATGGGAGAATGATGGCAATATGAAGATCTATTTAAAGCAAAACCCCCACAAAAGTATAAGATCTAGCGTTTACTGTGGGTTTTAACATAGTGTGTATATATATATCATGGCATTAAAAGTTTCTACAAAACAAAAGTCATCAAAACCATGCTGCCACAAATAATCCCCTGAACAAGTAGCAAAGGGTGATTTTTTTTTTTTTTAATTATGACTATATAAATAATGGAACTTAATGGTTTCCTGATGGACTTAATACTCCAAACTGTGATACTCTTTCTTTTTTTTTCTTTTTTTTTTTCTTTCCTGTGTGGAAGGGCTGTTTAAGTTATTCTGAATCTAATTCTTAGTATTTTTAAAGACGTTTAAAATACTCTGTTTTCTCTACTATTTTGTTTTCTGTAAGTGGGAATGTTTCTTGCATTTGGTATAACTCCATCATTGTACTTTTCATCTAAATGTACGAAGCTGCTTTGACTGTGCTTTAATTGCATGTAAATGACCATTGCATTGGTTTTCTCTGCCTGTTTAAAAAGTGGGTGTGCACAGGTGAAAAGTGAATTCCTTTTATGTTTTCATTAAAATTTCACTAAATAAATGGAGATCTAATTATGCTTGGTATATATCCTCCCCAGATCTCAAAGCTTTTGAAAGAAGACTTACCGAATATATTGCATGTTTGCAACCAGCTACAGGACGTTGGAGAAGTAAGTCTGATGTTCCAAGGAATAAATAGGATTCTCTTTTTAAAGCATTTTAGATGTACCAGTGTGTATCTTTATGTTTTCCCAAACAAAAATCTGTGCTTAAACTCTTAAAAAATTTCTGTGGCATACATTCAAACACTCTGCAACAAGACAATCATAGACAAAGAACATCTCAAGACAACAAACTAATACTTTAGCCCAAGTTAGAAAAATGAAGTCAGGATTGACCTGGCTCAAGACTGAATTATTCTTGAAGTAGTTGGGACTGTACGTTATTGTAGTTTTGGAGGTTTGTTGTTTTGGGGGGTTTTGTTGCTGTTGTTTTGAAGATTCAGAACTACAGATAGTCACTGTAGTTACTTGAACTAAATATGATTGAGTGGAATAGTCCTTCTGTTCCTCTCCCTTCTAAAATGAAGGTGACAAAGTTACAACAGTATGCCATAAGGGCAGAATATGTCCTCATCTCTGTTCTAACAGGAGTTTGAAGGCAGGGGCAAGGCAAGAAATACTACAGGTATGCTGCCAACTTTGGGATCAGTAATCCAGGGTGAAAACAGATTGCTTTTTTTGTTGTGAGATTCAAAAAATGCAGACACTTTTTTAGAACATATAAGATAGCATCTTTTTTCCTGAGAGTCCAAGAGGTTAATTTCAAATGAAGGAACTGGAGGAATGACTTAAAAAACAAAACCGACAAAATATCCACCCCAAAACACAACAAACCAAACCCCAACACCCCCATTGTTTCAGAGCAGCTGGGAGGCAAGCAGATATTTCTAAGTAGGTCTGCCCAACTTGTGTGCACCTACTTAGGGAATGCATTTGGCTTCCAGAATTGCTATTTACTGTCAGATATAATTAAAAAACAAAACAAAATATTGGGAGCTTCTAAGCATATTTAAATGAAGTTTGCATAGCTAGTATTGTTTTCACTAGCTAATTTTTTTACCTACTGCTTGTTTTCCTAGTTTTGTAATTCACGTAAAATAGGATGTTTTACTTTCATTACAGTGGGGGATTTAACTCTATGTTAAGTTTTCCTCCTATTATCCTAGGAAAAAAGTATTTATATAGAGAAGCAGCTGTATGCTTTTGACAGATTTTTTTTTTCCAACTTTTTTTTTTTTTGAAAGCATAACTTGTCAGGGTTCTTTTTTTAACTTTGTTTCTGATTTTGTAATATGCAGAAGGAATATGTAACTCAGTAGTAAATTACAGCAGTCTTACAAACCTAAAAGTAGTATTTCATGAATATCTGGGGTTTGTTTTCAGGTTCTTCCCAATGACCACAAAGGCTGGTAACTCTAGCTCTTCAATTTTTTTTGTGCTGCTTTTCTGTTTTCTTCCCCCTTCACCCCATAAAAGACTTTATTTGCATCAGAACTTCAGGCTCCACAGGAAACACTCAGAACTGCCAAATGCCCAATGAAAGCAGCAAGGCTTCATGGCTGTACAATGCAATAGGAGCTATCCCTACCTTTATATTTGTACTGTTTTCTTCTTCCACCAACCCCTGCTCCCCAGCCTTTTGTAGTCTCTCAGAATCAGTCTAGTATCTTGTGTTACTCTAGTACGTATCTAGCATTATCCATTTGCAGTGAATTGATTATTCTTCCTAAGCTATTCTGTATGTGTACAGGTTTTTGTTAATTTTCGTCTGCTAATGCTATCATGCTTTCTGACTCCTGTTTGAATTTTGTGTTTATCTTTTTTCTCTGTGTTGGCTTTCTTGCTTGTAATTGTGTTGATTGTGATGGGGAGTATAACACAACTCAGATATGCCATTGAAACTGCTGTTGCTAATGCCTCAGGCTGTTCTGATGTAGAATAGCTAATGGGATAGATGCTTTAATTCTGCTGTGCAATGTAATGGTGATTCATTTCCATTGCCCAGACTGCATAAGCTCAAAGAGCATACTGAAAATTTGGTACAGCTCTTACTCCAGTTTCCAACTCATATTTTTGCTAATGGTGTTATTTTAGAAACTTTTGTTTTCTCCAAAGCATTTGGATGTTTTTACTTCACAGAATTTATATTTTGGTACCTACTTGTGAAACTGGTACAGAATCTTTATGGTTTGACATAATCAAAGTTTCTTTGCCTGTTTTCATTTCTTCCTTCCAACTAGAAAGTTTTTCTCCCCCAGAAGAGGGAGAAGAAAGAAATGTGTAAAAGCTGTTGATGCAAAATAAACACTTGTTCATAGGAGGTATGCTATTTATGACTCTTGTTCTTTTCTTTTTCAGTGATTCTGATAGTGGTGTCAGTCTGCACAGCGACTGGTGCCTGGAACTGGTTAATAGACCCAGAGACACAAAAGGTAAGAATCAGGTTAATCCTAAATGTAGTGTGTGGCAGTCAAGTATCGTATTGAAAACTGAAAGGCTACAGGTGGTTCTCCCATGAAACTGTGAGATAATTTTCAGTTAAGCTCTTGAGCTCTCCAGAATTGTTCTGGAATATGTCCTGGGACAGTAATGCCTACCAATATGTGCATCTTGAATGCTTGTCTAAAGAATGGTTCACAAGTACTCAGAAACAGCTAGGAGCAGTATGATTTGGTTTTGTTTTAATTAAGTGAACTAGGCAGCAACTTTCTGTATGTTTTAGAAGTATGCAGTGGGACTAATTTGGTTTCTTTCCTAGGTGTCATTTTTCACATCACTTTGGAATCATCCGTTTTTCACAATTAGTTGTATTACCCTAATAGGCTTATTCTTTGCTGGAATACATAAAAGAGTGGTGGCACCATCAATGTATCCTTCAATTGTGTTTGTCAGATTAAAGGTGTTGCAGTTACTGCTGTTATTGAAGCCTGTGCTAATACTGCTTTTTTGGTTTTTACTTGCTCTGTGTACCAGTGTTAGCTGCTTTCCTTGACACAATCCACACAGTATAGCAGCCCGATGTCGAACTGTTTTGGCGGAATATAACATGTCCTGTGATGATGTAAGTGTTAGCCATTGCCTAAACCTTGTTTTTGAAAAAATGCAAGTTACTGGAGAAGGCACACAGATTTTTTTTCTGAACAGCACTTGCCACAAAGGCATGTAGTGACAGGACAAGGGGGAATGGCGTTAAGATGAAAGAGGGGAGATTTGGATTAGATGTTAGGAAGAAATTCCTTACTATAAGGGTGGTGAGGCCCTGGCACAGAGTTGCCCAAAGCTGTGGGTGCCCCATCCCTGGCAGTGTTCAAAGCCAGGTTGGACAGGGCTTGGAGCAGCCTGGTTTAGTGGAAGGTGTCCCTGCCCATGGTAGGGAGGTGGAAATGGAGGAGCTTTAAGGTCCCTTCCAACCCAAACCACTCTGTGATTCTGTGAATACACTTTCATAAATTCTGTGTATCTGCAAAACTGGAATGTAGAATAATTAGTATTGTTCTGTGTGTCATTCTAAACTTAGCTTGTGAAATTGAGCTTGGGCTCAACTTTCAGGGTCTAAACTTAATTTTTCTTTTTTTTTCTGTCTTGCAGACTGGAAAATTAATTTTGAAACCTAGGCCTCATGTTCAATAAGGCTGTCTTCCTTCATTTTTTTCCACTGCCATGGAAACCAAAAATGACCTTTTTAAGGTAGTGTGACAACAAAAACCAAATGGGACTGGTTGTCGCTGCCTGGGAGTGAAAGTCTTACACAGTTGACAGTGAAAGTGTGCAATATTATTTCTTGAATACTTATCCAAATTCTTTGTTATCATATTATCAGTGCTTTTGCTACTTCTGATTACCTCCTTTTCAGTATTAGTGTCACTTTTTTTACTTCAGCTAGAGGAGAACATACAGGTGAAGTATTGTTAATCGGCTATGAAGTTGAACTTGAAAATCAAACCTCATGTGTGTTACGTGTCTTTGTAAGCTATTGTAAATAGCAGATGGATGCCAGTGTTCAGGAAAAGAAGTAATACATGCTGTATGGATTTTTTTGTTCTCATGAACAGTAACGATAAGAACACTTTACCATTCCCATGATGTTTCATTAGCACACTTACTCATTACAGCTGTCCTTGTCTCCTGGTCATTCTTTTTGGAACCGGTTAAAGGCCTGCGGAAAGACTGTCTGTCCTGGAGAAAACTGGTCTCACTGTTTAAGAACTGCAGCTGCATCAATGATCACATTTGTCTGTCTGTGTATGTAGTGCACCAGCCACTTCTGTTGTGATCATACGTAGTTAATGGTGTGATCTGGTTCACAACACTGATCTTTTCAGATTTTAGTACCTTAAATATGCTTGTACCTTCCAGACTGTATCTGTACTGTATCTGAAGTCCATGTGACCATTCTGAGAGGATTTTTATGCAATGATAGTCCAATTTAGTATTGAAAAATGTGTAACTTCAGATTTGGTGTAGAAAATAGAGTGCCACAATAAAATATTTTATTATTGAGTGTTAAAAGCAAGATGTGGATGTCATGTGCATAAAGTGCAACTTTTGAATAGCTAAATTGGAAAGAGTTTTAGGCTGTTCGAGGTGCCTTTTTAATGTTTTCAAACCCTTCTAATGGACTAAAACTGCAAAGCTGTTGCAACTTAGTAACACCTACTACAAGCTACACTGGCTTTTAAAGGCAGCCTATGGATGTAACCATGTCAGTTGAGACCTTCAGAATTGTATTCTGTAATTTTTCCCTTCTGCCCATCTATTATTTTTAACTGGTGTATATTTTGTAGGTCAATATGTATAAAATAAATTGTTTGTATAAACAGCTGTTATTTTTTGTACTGCGCAAATACAGATCTTGAATGCAGAAGAGCTTTGGGATTTTATAGCTGAAGTCTGTAACTTTCATACTGGACCAACATTTCCTGTATTCAGTATACGATATGAAGTGTACGATACTGACACCAGAAAGAAAGTCCTTCCAGTTTTCCACTGTCCAGGTCAATCCTACCTCTCTAAGTGCTCTCAGAGGAAATGGTTTATTCAGCATTTACTTTGTTCAGAGTTTTTGACCTGGGGAAGTGTGCAGAGTAGCCATCATGGCCCTGAGCGCATATGCGGATGCTCTTGATGGCTTGGCTTTGCGAATGAAGATTTGGGAAGGGCTTCACCCCTGCTTACTACAAGTGCGATGAGGACTAAAAGGGCAATGTGGGATAGGCAAATCCAGTTGGAAAAAAGGCTGCTTGGTCATTCAGGATATTTCCAAACAAGACTGTCATTTCCTGGGTCAATCTCGAGCGACCAATGTCCTGAACCGCTTGCATGCAGGGTTGGGTCTGCCGCTTCCATTGCACCTTACCACCACCTCCTCTGTTGTTATAGGGCTTTGCAAGTGTGAGTAAATCTTTCAGGCCTGTGCAGTGGATTTTTTAGATGAGGCATAGTGTGCACAGAACTGGTCCCACCCTTTACGCCTGAGGTTTATCTGCCAGGGCCTAGGTAGCTTGGACGGTGACAGCAAAGTCCTCAGGTCATAGGTTTAGTTAGAATGTCCTTCTCTTCGACGGACTGCCTTACAAGGCTAGAGGAGCTCCATCTGTCTGGGTCTGAAGTTAAGAGTTTTCCTTCTAGGAGTATCACTATGTCTAGGTGGGATTCTGACTTAGAGGCGTTAAGTCATAAGCTCGCAGATGGTAGCCTTGCGCCAGTGGCTCCTCAGCCAAGTGCATGCACCAGGGGTCTGAACCTGCGGTTCCTCTCGTACTGAGCAGGATTACTATTGCAACAACACATCATCAGTAGGGTAAAACTAACCTGTCTCACAAAGGTCTAAACTCAGCTCACATTCCCAATTAGTGGGTGAACAGTCCAACGCTTGGTGAATTCTGCTTCACAATGATACCAAGAGCTGACATCGAAGGATCAAAAAGCGACGTCGCTATGAATGCGTGGCCGCCACAAGCCAGTTATCCCTGTGGTAACTTTTCTGACACCTCCTGCTTAAAACCCAAGAAGCCAGAAGCATGCTCTTAGTGCCAGGGTTATGGGGCTGCCGTAGTGCTGCTCTGGCAGCGGCGCTGCCCCATCTTCTGGCCGAGCCCTGTGCCAGGGGTATCGTCGCCTCGTGGCCCTATCTATAGCCGGGCACCTCCCGGCTGTGGGCGGGCAGCCGGGTTGCGCCTGCGCGGGCGGGGCTCCGCCTGCGCAGGGCCGGCACGTGGGTGCGCCGGCGCTGAGGCGCGTGGGGAGCGGAGAGCCATGGGGAAGAGCCGGGGGAGGCGGTTCCGGCAGATCTCCTTCTCTCCTACCGGCCTGGAGCAGCGCTGCGACGAGGAGGACGACCCGGACGAGGAGCCGGCCGCGGAGCTGCTGGAGAAGGTGCGGGCGAAAATCGGGGCCGGCCGCCGGCAGGGCGAGTTCGGCGCGACCCCAGCTTGGGACCGGGGCGCCAGTCAGCCGCGGCCCGACCCGATGAGGCTGCGTGGGCGGCGAGGGTTGTGCTCCTCCGCCGCCGGTGGGGGGTGGGGACTGGTCTCAGGCTTTCCTGGCGGTGTCGAGGACCTGGATGCGGTGCGGCCTGTCCGCTCTTGGATGCGGTGCGGCCTTTCTGCTGTCGGGCGCGGGAGGGAGCTGTGCGGCTCGTTCCCCCGCTGCTGCGTCGCTTCCCCGGTGTTACCGCTGCGCCCGCAGCGGCTCGAGTGGAGGGGCGGTGGCGGCGGCGGCGGCGGCGGCCCTGTCCCCGGCTGGCCGGCAGCTGCCGCCTCCGGGCTCGGCACTCCGACCGGGCTCTCATTCTGGCTTTCCTGACTGGTCTAGGGAGGCTACTCCGAGCTCCTCCTCCCAGGAGAGGCTTTGAAGGAGTTCTTGCAGTGTTGGGTTCAGTCTGCCCGACTGGAGAGTGCTACAGATAAAAGCTAGTGTAAACCTCCTTCTGCACATGTGACATTAGAATCTACAGTAAAAATCTATTTTCCTTTAAGGAACTAAATACCCTGTGTTCACTTCGCCTAAATGAACTCATTGAACAAATCACTGCTTAATTATTCCTCTGGACTAGCCTATTTAATCTTATAAAGAAAAGAAGAAAGAGGGAGAGTAAAACAATTACACAAATGCACAGGTGAGGATGAGTGCAGAGACCTGAGTTTCAGTGAGGCAGGTTGTGAGGTACCACTCTTTGCCAGTCTGCTCTTCAGCAGCATTTGTCTTGTCTGTTGGGTTTTTGACAAGCTCCATGTCCTCCCAGGACAGGCACTTCTGACATCCTTTTATTTTTATGGTTTGTGATTCTTGCATGTACCTAAACCTCTTACAGCACAAGGCAGTGTTGTGAGAATGTAGGGAATTCTTGCTCCTTGACTTGGGGCAGGTGTTTTTAGTCTAAAGGCTGTCATGCTTTGTTTGTATTTTTTGATTCTTCAGTTTTCGTGTAAGGTGGTATATTTTGTCTGTTATATTTCCTCGATGGTATTTTTGTCTCCACTTCTGTCCTTTTCAAAATTTTTTAAACATTGTAATTAGAAGTAGCTATGAGGTCTCACCAGGGACAGCTAGTATCAAATCTGTGTCTGAACTGCAGCTCTCTTGTTAGACACCCAGAACAGTATTTGTCTGGTCCTACACAGATAACCCAGGGAAAGATACATAAACTTCCATGGAAGTTAAAAGCTCTTAATTCCATTCCAGAGCAGTAAAAGAGGAGCTGCAGTCCTGGGCATGCAAATCAAAAGGCAGATCTGTCTTTTCACTCAATAAAAACTTCCAGCTACCTTTTCCCTTGCCACTAATCTGCCCTGTTTGTGTCTCCCCAGGTGCAGCATCCAAGTGCTGAAGTGAGAGAGTATGCCTGTGCCAGTATTTCCAAGCTGTTGCAGGAACAGCAGGCAATCCCAGCCTTCCTGCAGAGAGATGTGGTCCGTTGTTTAGGACCCTTGTTGATGGATTACAGTTTAGCTGTTCGCGAGACAGCTGCAGGTGCCCTCCGGTATGCAGTTGCTAGTATTTGGTTAGAATGAGGTACTCCTGGCATGGAAAAGAGAGGGGTTTTCTTGTTAAAAGCTGTGAATTTGAATGCCAGCCTCTCTTGCTTTAACTCCATTTTGAGTAAATATACCCATGTCAGTTGAAATCCCTGAGGGAGCAGCTTTTCTTGCTCCAATAGGCTGTCATGAAATTTTAATAGCAGGAGCAGAGTTTGGATTAGTTATTACAATTTTATCTACTCCTAGTCGAATGTTTTGCTTTTCATCCTTATGTTAAGAAAAAAAATCACTAGTGGTATGAAGAAATACAGAGAACTTAAATGCTGTTAGTATGGCATTTTGTGTCTTGGTAACCCTGTATGAATTAGTTAGGAAATGCACAGAGCTGTGTTTTAGAGAAACCTGTAAATATTGAACAGTATAATTTTGAGCTGCTATTCTGCAGTCAAACCTGCAGCGTGCTTTATTTATACAAAATTTTAATGCTAATACCTGTTAACATTCATGTTATATCTTACACTTGAGTAGTATCTGACAGAAGTCATGTGTTAGTGCAGCTAATTTTTCTGGTTATGCTAAACAAGTAAGTGAAAGTAATTTTTTTCCCTAACACCAAAGTTATTCTTTTAATTCTTTTATGCTAAGAGGGTAGAAAATTAAAGTTACTGATTAAGCAGATTGACATTAAAATGAAAAGTACCATAACCTTTAGAGAAGAATATTGAATGCGTGGTGTTTTGTTTTTTCTTTTTTTAATATTCGTGCAAAGTATTGTACCTTATCAAAGCATTTTTGGGTTGTTTTTTTTTTTGTGTGTGTTTTTTTTTTTTTTCCAGAAATCTGAGTGCTTGTGGGGGATTTGAAGTCTGTGATGACATGGTGTCAAAAGACATCATGACACCCCTTGTTGCGCTTCTGAAAGAGGTGTGTTTTGTTTTATTCCAACTTTAAAACTGATTTAGTCATTAAGTTATCCCATTTTCAAAAATAATTGAATTTTTATAGCTATTCCCACAATAGGATATTTGAGAGATCTTTTAAAAGAATGTTTCAGTAGGTTTAATAGGACAAAAAGTATTCCAGAGATTTCAAACCACTTGATTTTGCCTCTTGACCTGCTGTCTTGGATCTG